TTTTGCAGCCACTGTAGTTTCTCATAAACACTTCCCAGCCCGTTCTCATTCCCAGGTCGCAAAAATACAGACGCAAGCAGTGTTCAGTTTGTTGCAATTTGCAACTTCACCGCTAGATGCCACTAAATCCTACACACTGGTCCTTTAACTCGATTATCTGCATCTATTATTCTATGCATACAATCCCAAAAAGTATTCCCTTACTTGTTGGTTATTATCAGCTTAAAACTGCAGTCATTTTTTGACTGATGTGATTTAGACACATATAGTACCATTGAGGACCTGTTATTTGTCTCATGATGCTATTAAAGTCATATACGTGAGTGTTGTACTGTAGAGGGCTGTAACACCCTCTATCCTTAGATGATTTGTATAACGATAAGCTCCAAACATTGTGTTAGTGTTTGCTAAATTACTTCAGAGTTGAAGTGTATACATTGTTGTGTCTACACACTGCAGTGGATATGGGGCCTCTTTCCACCATGTTTACCATATATGCTCATGGCTAATGCACACTCAGGTGATTCCTGGCTCCCATGTGTCTGAGCTGCTGACTGGATCTTAGATTGGAGAGAGCGTTTGACATTTCTAAGAACAACGGGTCTAAACAGAGAGCTTTTACCTGTGTTAGGGCGATATCCCACCCTGCCGTGGTGAGGATAGGGAGCGGCAGACTGCTGGACTTCAGCCACAGCTCTCCTCTCTTGTTCCCACATCTCCACCTCAGACTCGGTGGTCCGGGAGCCCACGTCTGACACGTCTCCTTCCTCGCCTTCAGTGCTGTTCCTGTAAGGTCGCCGCTGCCAGTTCTGGATAGCCTGTTTACGGAGTCCCCAGTTCCTTGATCCACCACCGCCACATCCAGGAGAGCGCTCATAACCCCCCTCACCCAGCCGGCATTGCATGTGATAGTACTGGGCCTCGGGACACTCCTCCATGGGATGCATCTCCACGCTGTCACTGTCATAACCTCCAGAGCCCTGTGAGACGGACTTGATCCGCCCTGATGCTCTGCAGGAAAAGAGAAGGAAGTGTACTGTTGTTACCATAAGCGATGATTTAATGCTATGTCGCTTTCTTGCAGAGAGTTAGATGAGAAGATCCATACCACGCTCACATCTAAATATAAAGCTGGTTAGCTTATCTTAAGACTGGAAACTGCCAACCTGGCTCCGTCCAAGGGTAACAAAATGCCCCTTTTTAAAGTACCTTTTACAACTCATTCATTTACATGTCAACAACTTAACTTTTAAATTGACAGGTTGTGGATTTACCAGGAGATATGAAATATTGGCCAGGCAACCAGTGGAGACTCCAGGAAGTCCCTGGCCAAAAAAACAGTCCTCCCCTTTAACTTTGGCAAAATCACAACCTTTCTTTTTTACACTTGCTTTCTTCTCGCTCTAAGTCTCGGAAAGAAAGTGAATAAGCATATTTGACAAAATGTTGAATCTATTCATCATGCACCATCAGCTCTGCTTTTAACAGACAAAATATCAATATTACAGACCAAAAGAGTCTATTATTTTTAATTTAGAAAACGCTAAATATTTTGCACAGCCTCATGGAGATCAGTTTGATTCTGTTGTACCATCAATTCCACTCATATGCTTTTTACTTTTATGTATTATATTGTATTACTTTAATACATTTACACAAAAATTATTGATAGACTGACAATCAGATAGTTGTATTTTATCATTTTGTTTCTGATTATCATGCATGTTTTCAGAGAGTTAAATTATATCTTATCACGCATTAAGACATTGCCCTCAACGCTTAGAGAAGATAAAACTCTTACAACAGATGAACTGAACATAAGTATCATAACCTACTGGCACACTCACGCATACACACAATACACATAAAAAACCTCAAAAATCCTTGGCGAGTGCTTGATTGTTCCGATTATTCATTTCTGTAGAGACTTCTGTCTCTTCAGCACAAAGTAACAAAGTAAGGTCCACTGAGGCAAACAGCAGTATTGGTATTTAATTTGACAGTAGTGGATGCACTTCTGGAACCATAATTAACCACAAATAGATACTGCATGACTGAAGGAACAGCTTCATTTCAGAAGATTTATAGTAGAACGAGGGCAGCTTTTTGTACATACGTACAGTACTTTAAATAACCTCCCAGCCAATACAAGTAATGAGCAGTTACAAATATCAGCCTCACAAAAAGTAGGACATTCTTCATTCTTTTCTCCATTTCTTCCTACTCAGTACTCCCCCCTCTTTCTTACAGTATAATATGAAGAGTGGACGCTTCTGCATACATCATTTTAGGAATAAAAATGAAAAACAGACGATACTGCAGGTACCCCTTATCAGTACTTGCAAGGGAATAGGAGGCACAGAAGATGAAGATTCATGTCATGCCACATACTGTGAATGAATTCAGATTGTGTAAAAACAAAACATTGCTGTGTGCTTATGGTTTCAAAAATCTAAACTGGGTGAGCGACAAAACTATGATTCATTACAGTCTAATGAGCTTGCTGTATAGCCTAATCAAACCTGTTCTATTTTTTTGTCAACATTAAATCAATAATAACACATAATTTGAGACAATCACGAGAAGCTCAAAATTACCAATTGCTGATTAATGTTTTCAGAGTGTGTATCCAGAATGCAAAGTGGCATCAGAGAGTAAATATAAAACAGCTTCATAATCAGAGAAAGAAACACAGTTGCACTCAGGGATTTTGGTATAAAATTGACCCATGTTGACTAATGACTGTTGCACAAATATTTGGTGACGTCAATATCTATAAATCCCTAAAACTGTTCCACGCTTGAGGTTACGACCTTTTTTTATATCTAGTGGCAAAAATATTTTGTCCCTGATGAAGAGCAATAAATAACCATAAGACAGAAGGATTAGAGGGTTGTTGTTGGGTCGCTTTCTGTACGTGTCGCGCCATCAATGATTCAATGGGGAAGGCCTAACAGGATCTGCGTGACGTCACATTAGGAAACACATTCACATACCAACTGGGAATGACAGTTGTGTTAGTCAGAGCACAGCCATGTGTCTGAAATCTCCAGCAGGGACACAGAAATACTTCAGTCACACCTCATGCAGAGAGACGTCCAACCTGCACCTCACCGCTTCTTCTGAACGAGAGTCTGACTAAAAATGGGATCTATTCCATTTCATATCACACTGTTCAATACTATACGACATATGAATGTTGTAATGTGGATGTGTGAGTGTGAAACAAGATGCAAGGGGACGAGACACTCTATTCTCAGTTTTAACACAAACTGCATGCAGCAAACCTGTTTTTCTGTAAGTGCTGTAGGGCTGCAACTAAAGATTAATTAATCTTTAGTTGTAATTAATTAATCAGTCACAAAATGACGAAAAATGCCCATCACAAGTCCTCAGAGCCCAGGGTAAAGTCTTTAATTCACTTGTTTTGTCCACTCAAAAGTCCAAAACATAACCAAAATATATTCAAAGCAGCAGATTCTCACATTTGAAAGGCCGGAACACGGCAAATGATTGGAAATTTTGCTTGATAATGATTGTGAAAATACATGACAACTATTTCTATGTCAGTCAACTAATAGCTTTATCTAGAAATCTAATAATTGCTTTAGCATAAAGTTTTGCTTTTTGAGCACAATGAATGAATGTAACAGAAACCGTATCTCATATTATCTGAATCTACAATTGCGGTATAATCTCTCTCTCTTTTTAATTTGATTTTTAATTTCAATTGAAAGACAAAAACAATAAAACAGGTTGTAACCATGAACATTTCCACTGTTTTCATTGTTTTTTCTGCAGTGCTGTAACCAAAGGTCCAAAGGCCCAAAGGCCAGGGACAGTGAGCACAGTAGATGGTGGTTAAAAGCTTTGGGAGTCCAGAGGTTCTGTTATATTTCCACATAACTGACAGATTGTGTTTCATTACAGTACCAAATTCACTTGACAGCAAAGAGACAGAAAATCTCCAGCTGGACCAGAAAAACTGTTTTCTTATCAAAAAACATAAACTGACTGACAGACAGAAAGTCTTCCTGATGCAATGATTTCTAATTAAACCACGTGTAACATGACAATTATGAGCTCATCTAATCCTCTCTTTACTTCTGAATGGTTAAGTGTACCATACAACGTATACCATAAATCTGATTATGGTTCAGTGGTGGTTTATGTTACATTTCAGAGGTGTGAAGTAATCTGTAAATGTGGATAAGAAGCAGCAGTGTGCTGACTTACCCTGTGCTGGGGGAGGAACGCCGGTCTGACACTTGGTACATGCCTCTTGTGCTCCCAGAGAGGCTGGAGTTTCTCTGCAGAGACGCAAACATGCAGATTGGAGGAAAACAAAGAAAAGCGTTATTAGTAAAATTACTCAGTACTCAGTAAGTGTCCTTAGACATGCCCTTGGCTCAAATGTTGTGAGTCTGTATTCCTAAACTCTTCTGAGAGTGGATGACAGTCCTGATGCTCTGGATGCAGAGGATTGTTTATCGTGATATATGAGGACATTCTAAAATATAATAAAGATAATACATTCAAAACTACAGCATGAGATATACAGAATTTAATTTCAAAGCAGCTGTCAAAATAAGTCAGCACTGCTATAAATATGAAAAGGGTACAGAAGGCGGCTTAACAAACCCCCAGTGAAAAGACAATAAAATCAAATGTAAATCAAAAAGTAGCCTATTTTCCTGTTATCATGGAAAGCTCCTCTATATGTATTTAAAAAAAGCTGTGATAGCGCAGATGCTTAGCAGATAAAACTAAAACATAGCAACACAAATGATGTTCAAATTAAATAAATGTGTATATTAGTTTGATCACTCTTCAGCTTACATATTGACATTATGACTAGTGACAGCATCAGCCATAAATCATCAATGGGCAAATATTTTCTCAAAACAATAATATTAACCACTGATCATAGATCATAGATGAGTTAGGCAATAGCAATATAGTAATAGATTACTAGGGGATAATTTTGTCCTGAGGGCGGTACAAAAGAAAAGCTCAAGTGATTGTAAAATGGGAAGCGTTCATTATCTGGGGAGAATTAATATAATGAATACATTTGTCTATTTTATTGTGATATTTCTCTATATATAGATATATATATATATATAAAAAATGGCGCTTTGGTGGCAGTACAAGACAGGAAGAACAGGAATTCCCACAGAAAATGTCATGGAAATCCAGTGACTAAAGTGTGACCAATAATAGCCACAAACATTTTCATACAAATGCCTACATATCATTATCTTGTGTCTTAAAGGTAGCAATACAGGACAGGCCATGGATTCTCTTCTCTTAACCAAAGTGTTGGAATAACAGACTGTAAACCCTCACTCTAGCAACACACAAACCCTCATCATCTTTCCTACATCTTCCTTTGGTTGTAGCTCTAAAAGCAGGTGAGAATTTGTCAAGTGTATTTAGTTGTGGGTGTGCAGCCTGACTCTCACTCTCTCTATTTGCCTGAGAGCTAAATCCTCCCAGTCACTCTTTCATACACCACTCAAAGCTGCCTGTGCACTAAAGTATGCTGTGTGTAGTGTTTGTACGTGTGTGTGTGTCTGGTGTGTGTGGTGTTGTGTGTGTGTGTGTGTAGTAGTGCCAGGTGGGACTCTGTGTACCAGACTGGCGACGTGCCACAGAGGGAACGCGTGCACAAACACAGACACTGTCACTCTCTCTCTCCTTCTCTCTCTCTCTCTTTCTTCTTTCGCTGCTTCTACTCACACAGCTTGTTTCTGGCCTTGTGCCAGTGAAAATGGACCATGGAAGAAACAGGCAAACACCATCCATGGCTCGCATTCCTGGCCAGCCTGCAGCCAGTGAAGGCAGAACGGGGAAATTGTTGGAACAAAAAAACTAAAATCTGGTGACCTAAGTTTGATCTTAACTCTTAACTCTTGTTGCTAAAAAGACCAAAGATTTATAAAACACTACGATTGAAATAAAGCTATCTTCACCTTGCAATTCCTGTGAATAAATGCATTAGATTCAGCTTGGATTGAACTAGAGAGAGAGCAGGAAACGAGTCATCCATCCCTTTTCTCACTGTCAGTCCTAAAATACCTCTTTGGCTCGAAAAACCTGTCTCCTAGGAGATGAGGGCAACCTCGCTGATGCTGTGACAGAAGGATGTAGAGTGGGGTCGTGAGGGTGTGTGGTTGGTTTGGATGGGTGACATCTCTGGGCTTCCCTTGACAGTGTAACAAGGTGCCAACCACCCTGTGATTCCACACTTGTACTTGTCACATTGATTATTCACAGTCTTACAATGCACAAGCATGAAACTGACTGATGTTTAAATCCAAAGAGAGGACTTCTAAATTTAGGTAGCAGCGTTTCAGGTCAGTCACAGGTCAAACGGGTCTCTAATCTAGCTTAAGGAAGAGGAAAACTTATGTATTTTTTCATCATCCTGCAACAGGTTACTTACAGGATTATAAAAGAGGTATCACTCACATTATTCACTGTACAGTATGACTATATAAAGTGACTGATCCGAAGATGTCAGCAACATCTTTACACTCAGGAGGAGAAGATTTTTTTACTGAGAATCTCTCAAACAATGAGTGAAATTGAAACAGCCAGTTACTCTCAAGCAGATCTGTGCCACATGATTCAAAATCATGTTGGAACCTTCAGCAAGAGCAAGAACTGGTTTCCATGGCAGCACACAGATTTGTGAAATGAAACGGGTCGCCTCTTTTTCCAAGAGGTGTTGGATAATAATTTGAATAAGTGACATTTTTAAGAACAGACAGTGTCTGCTTTTACATTTTTATCCCCGTGTAATAAGGCAAAGTAAGGGGGGGGGGGGGGTGCCACAATGGAAGCTGTAGAGAGCCTGGAGACAAAGAGCTGATCTCCAGTTTCCGGAGCACAAGGCAGCTTTATATGCAAGTACACTCTCTGGTCAAGATGTCGTCTGCTGCAGGGCTTCACTGTTTTCCACTGTTTTGTTGCTGAATGCAAATCAGTCAGGGATCAGGCCCCTATTTTCACTTTGCTACGACCATCAGTACTAACTGTATGATGCTATGGCGTGTGAGCATCACTTGATTACAAAACAAAATGCTGAAACTGCAACTGCCAGATCTTATCAAACAATATCGATGTGTCAATCTTAAAATTCCTGCATCTATGTGCCAAAATCATTTAAAAAGCCTTCTCAGATGATCAGCAAAGAGATGTTTTACATCACATACATTATTATATCATGTGTGATTGTCCACATACTTTTGGCCAGGTAGTGTTCAGCCAGTTTCTCAAACTTTGTAACTGGGTATTAAAAATGTTACATTGGAAATCTGATGAACTAAATGAGAGGAACTTAGATCCTTTGTTAAGTTTAGGAATATTTTAAAAGCACACATTTCACATCCATGCTTTGTAACTTCAAGTTGATTGGTTTCCGGTTAAAAAAACATCTCTGCAAGATTTAATTAAAGTCATGCTAATACAGTCAATGAGAAGGTAACGACTTAGTGATTCCTGGAACAGGAGGAACAACAAATTAGCTAAATGACTTTAAAGACCTCAAAAACACGTTCACAATACACTTACACTGTCTGAGCTTCTGTTCTACTAACAAACCCTGAGCTTGTAGGTTTAATTTAAAGTCTCAAATTAGGCACAAACTCATGAAATTGATCTCATTTTATTTTCCTTCTTCAACCAGATACGTCTTGTCTTGTATGTGTGCAGATTTTGAGGTGATTCTAGTTTATTAAATTTCACATGTATGAGTAGTGCTGGGTGGCATAACCAAAGATTTGTATCCCGATTCTGGCATTTTTATGTTATATCACAGTATTATTATTATTATTTTAAAAGGTATTTTGAACATACAAACATTTTAAAGTCATCATGCATATACTGAAGGCTTTTCTTGGCCCCATAAACTGATAAAATATATGAAAGAATCAAAATGCATGAAACAGTTGCACAATGTAAAACATTTTTATTGTGCAAACTGCAACTTATAAATTAAGTAAATACAGCTTAAAAATGAAATAGTTATGCCATGTTTTCCTTTTCAAAGTAGTTGTATAAACACAACTGACATAAAATAATCCAAATATTAAAGTATTCAAAAAGATATTTTTTTAAATGACACAAATGAGTTACAGCAGTTGTTTAACTATGCAATGGTATGGCGGTATAATAAATATAACATGGGAAATTAAAACCAGTGTACACAGGTTCAGCCGGTATATCGCCCAGCACTATGTATGAGTAAATGGAAAGGTCCTAGACAGTTACTGCCCTTTAGCTCTGTAAAGAGGAGTAGACTTGTTGTCTCGGGGGTTTTAAAGTCTATTATGGGTTTGATCTGTGGCACTTTACAGGGACATTACTCAATATAATCAATGCTTATGCACTATTCAAAAGCAAAGTAGCACTCTGAAGTGGAGTCTTTAAGTGGGGTCTTGGGTTAAAAAAGAAAATCCAAATACTGAATCACAGTGTTATGAATTCATATTGAAGATCCAGTATGTAACATTTAGGAGGATCTACTGGCAGAAATGGAACATAATTTCCATAGGTATGTTTTCATTAATACAGTATATAATCACCTGAATATAGGAATCATTGTGTTTTCGTTTCCTTAGAATGAGACGTTTTTATCTGGACCTATTATTGCCTTCCATGGAGTCCGCCATGTTGTTTCTACAGTATCTGTAGAATTGTTTTTTTCGTGAGTTTTGCAGCCACTGTAGTTTCTCGTTAACACTTTACAGCCTGTTCTCATGCCACTAAATCCTACACACTGGTCCTTTAAGGTAGGTCAGTCTACAAATGTCACAAAAAATTTGATCTGAAAGAGTACACTTCAACTTTCTGGATTATCATGCAGTTTGAGGATGAATTAGGTATTTTAAAGCTATTTGTATGTTTGAAGATATCATTATGTATGGTTGTGTGTTCTGACCAGTGATCCAGTGGTGCAACAAAATATAGAAGTCACAATATCCCCACCTGGCGTCCGTTGCCCTTTGAGGCCTGGAGGCTACAGCGTCCCAGGCTGCCGTTCGGTGTGGTGCCGCAGCTGCTGATGATCTGCAGCTGTTTTTCGGCGCGGTCCGCTCGGTCCAGGAGCTCCTCAATGAACTGCTGCAGCCGCACTTTGGCATTGGCTTCACGTGCCGCTGTCTCCTGAAGGAACTGGTCAATCTGGGCGACTTCCCTTAGGGCAGAGAGGGGAACGGCAGTATTAATGGGACATTCTTTAAACTCCGTGGTAGTTTATTTGTAAATCTGTCTCATCAGGGGGCAAACGACTGATCTGCTGAACCAATGAACAAATGATCCTTGTTTGACTGCAGGACACATTTTTTAAAAAACCTCTCTCACATTCACACGAGCTGCCGTCCTGCCCTTTTTGCATGGGGACTACACACACCAAGGGTTGGTGACAGAGATAAATACACTATACAAACACAAAGAGAGGGGGAGAGAAAGAGAGAGAGAGGAGGAATTGAGGGTGAGAGAGCAGCTGGATATTTATACAACCGCAGGCACAGCAGGGCCAAGTTCCCGTCATTTTAAGGGACAGTGTGTTACTCAGATGTAGAGGCAAACAAACCAGGAATTCAGACAGTGTTAGTAGTTGTCTGCAGCCTGCTCGGTGAACTTTATATGTCTGGCGTTCCCTGCAGTGATTTTTTTTCAGTGTCATCTGATCAGAAATGGTCTGGTGATTAAAATTCCTAAACGTTCAGATGTAATTAGTCAGATCATATTAACTCAATAAGTTTAAGCTTGGATTATGAATTATATAAGTAGAATCTAATGTCCAGCACCATTAAGCGGTCTCTGCATTGATGGGAACTGGCCTTGACTTGTCCAAATCTGCCACAAAGAAGTAAAACCAAGAAAATAATCTCAATGGAATATGTTACTGATTACTTTAGTGATAGTTGCCACAATGAGTAGACAAATACACTTGATGGATGTCACTTCTGTCCTCAACACATCACTGTTTCTCCTTTAAACCTGCAATAACTGATTTTTCTTTTTTATTTGGCCACTTGGGGGCAGCGGAAACAAGTTACGAATACAACACTGACATAATATCACCTTTTATGTTGATATGGCAAACAGCTGCTTATTTACACATCCAGCAGTTACTAATGTTCACATCCAGACAAACCTTTTCATATCTGAATATCTTGTCACCGCCCAAGCCAACATCCCACACACTCCTCTACAGAACTTTCCTTTTTCTTTTCATGCTTATTAATGCGGAACTGTCTCCATATGGGACTTCTATAATTCCCAGAAGCTGCAGACATCCTCCAGGCGTTTTTTTTCTTTTTCTTATGTATGTCTGTTTGTGTCCTCATAAACAGCCTAAGCCTCTACTCTCTAAACAATGCAGTAAGGAGAGCTTAACAAGGCAATTCAGACATCTGACCTTGACAAAGCCAAAGGAACCATTAAAAGGTTCAGACCGTCACTGCAGACAGTGAACTGGGACATAAAATCTATGTCCCTCCAGTTTAAATAGGTTTGTGCTCATGAAACAGACCAAGCCGCTCATCAGGATGGATACTTTTATGTTCCACTAATCTCAAACATCCACTACTACTAACCATTATACAGTGCACAGTCCATCCAAAAACAGTAACAGCACTCAAAGGGAATTCTCTTGAAATGGGGGCATTCTAAGATAAAAATAGTTTAGCGTCTGGCACAGTTAACTTTTCTTATCTTCAGGCAAAGATTACAAAAATATGACTCCAAAATTAGTCTAGGTGTTTGACCGTAGGGCAGAAAGGAAAGCACACAAATCTGTGAGTAAACAGTCAGTGAATCAGTAACTGATATCAAAATTAAATGGCCACAGCTTCTTCTGTGATCAATCCCGTTTAGAGTTTGTCTCTTGGTAATTGGTGATAATGTGAGATAACATGATTTTTATCACCCAAATACAATTAGATGTAAAGTGATTGAAAGAGGCCTTTTATTGTACACTGTCTCCACTGCTGGATAAGGCACTTCTCCCTGTGGAAACTTGCAGAGAAAAGATGAAGGATTTGTGTGTTTGTGTGTGATATAAACTGACTCAGCTCCAAGCTCTTCCATCCAACTCATCCTCATCAAACTATGAACTCTCGTCTCTACTTCTGGCAAAAAGAAAAGGGGAATTTCCACACCCAGCCAACACATTATAAAGACTTTATCAACAGGGATCTCTCAGGGACAAAGTGAAGATACAGACAGGAGGCAGGGGTCTGGTTTTAACCACGTGAAGGGACAAAATGGGCAGTATCAATCAAGGCCACCGAAGCCAGAACAAACTTCGAGAAAACCTCTTACCCACCAAAAAGAGTGAAGTGAACGAAAATAATGAGCTTTAAAATGCAACACTGCTTCATAGAGCTGAGTGAAAGAGTTGAGTGATAATTATCTGTGGGTTAATCACTATGAAAAACCCTTTTCACTACAGTAATTTGATCCATTGTTAGTATAAACATATTATAGAATACAGCTTTAAGCTCTCATCATTATCCACTTTACACTTATATCTTTACTTCTTGTGCATTTATCATCTTTTTTAATTCATTTGAAATAAGTTTCTCTACTTACAATGTTTGTTTTCTGTTTTGTTTCCTTTGTGTATGACATGTTCTACAAAAATAAACTAGCCTAAAGGAGGGGATAGAATAAAGGGTAGTTGAACTTGGCACTGATAAGAATATTATATGCTTTGTGCAATATAAATGCAATATTAGCTCTAATTAATAATCAGATTTACATTTACAAAACTCAATGTCAATATCAAAACTGACACAGGATTGCAGAGATAAAACATATGAACTTCCTGCAAAAAGTTCACGCAACAATTTTTAGGCACTTTTTGGTGAACTGTTGTAGAGTTGAGGCTTGTGAGACCATTATGCACATAAAGAATGCACTGAATACAAAATAAGGCACATGCTGGGTGTTGAAGTAATCATGTCAACATAACATGCATTAGCAAACTTCGTCTGCAGGTTAAACCACTGATTCATCCTACTGTATATGATGCATCTCATTACAACGCAATATTAATTAACACGAGTATCATTTATTTTGCCTTAATGATTGGAGCTGTACCTAATGTATGATTAAGCAGCCTGAAGCTAAAGTTCTGCTCTCATTATTCAAGTCAATAAATGGGGAACAGTGAGACTGAGCACTGTTTTAAGTTCACCCTCTGGTATAATAACATATAGCTACCTCACAACTGCTATAAATAGAGTAGCTGAGTTAGGTTTGTATGTACTGTACGCTAAGCCATTAGTGTTTTGGCATGCAAATTGTAAAGCATCTGCAATTTGTCTTCGTTAATTACTCAACTGTATCAGATTTTTCTTGTTACAGGAGAAAAATCCCAAGAGGAGGAACATGAAGGAACACAGGAAAGCCTTTTCTTCTCTTTCTTTGTGTAAGGAAGAAATGCATAGATACACCAGACTGCCTGGAAGCCTAACCACTCATCCTTAAGAAGAGGGAAGGGAATCAGGAATTGGATCAAAAGACCGAGATATATGTGTTGGAGGGTGGGCAGAGGGGGAGAGAAGAGCAAAAAAAATATCTCCACCAGATCCCAGGAGACATAAGAAGAGAATGATAGAAATAAAGAGGAGAGAAAAAACAGAGAACTGAAGCTGATAAAAGCCCACGAAGAGGGGAGAACGGGCACAGAGAAGTGAAAACACTGCAGAGGCTAAAGCAACAGACAGCAAACAGAAAATCTGCAGTCATGTGGAAGCAGAAAGCACAGGAGGTTTGACAGAGGAGTGGAGAGAAATGGGATGTGGCTGCTTCCTGTTGTCAATCCTAATTTCCACACACACACTCAGATGTATACACACACACACACCTCGCTCTCACAGCGTGACTCACTCCCTCACTCCGACACCTCTGAAATAAAGCCTCAAGGTGACAAACATGCCCGTTTGTTTACCCGGACGCTGAGGAAGCGAGGAAAGGCAGACCGCCATCTTTTCTGGGTGATGAACATGCAGGTTGTTAGTCCGGGGCATGATTCATTGAAAATGACTCGGTGGTGGTTCCACACTCATCGACACCGATTCATGTTCGTGGGTGAGGGGAAACCACATATTTGTGACCCTCGTGCCAACAGTTTGCTGATGGGGCCCACAGAGTTTTGTTTCCTCTCTATTTTTGTTTCCATCTCACACACACCCACACACACACTGAACATTCAGATACTGACTTTATAATCCACACATAAACTTCGCTGTGAACGGCACACAAATTCATATTTTCTAAAAACAAATCTAGCTTCAAAAAGGGGAAATGGACCTTGTAACAGCATAAAACTATAAATATGTGGCTAGAGAAAGCAGCTGGTTAGTTTAGCATAACAACTAGAAACAGTGGGAATCAGCAAGCCTGGCTCTGTCCAAAGGTAACAGAATAATAATATTATAATAATTGTATTTATATAACACTTTTAAGCAGTAAGCACATACTGCTTTCCAAGGTCAATTAAAACATAAGCAAGCACCTACCAACACCTCACTAATTAACACGTACCGACTGTTTAACAAGTATAAAAATTACAGTTCACCGATTAATGCAGGGTTATGTGCTAAGTAAAGTACAGCAGATGCAGTGTTTAGCCATTAATTCCTTGCAGATATCAAATGTGTGTACAACAAGGGTTGTTTTAAATGTGCTTTATACATAAATATTATTTGATTGCACAGAGGAAGCAGGTCCTCTTCCATGTGGTCTGTGTTGTTTCTACAGTAGGCCAGAATGGACAAACCAAACACTGGGATAGGATTGTGTTTTTTCAACCACTGTAGTTTCCTCTACATGCTCGAACCGCGGAGGGGCGCTAGATGCCACCTACACCTTTTAGACCTACTATTGCAGAACCTACCAACTCCCCATTATCATCATCACCTCCAGGATGTTCAGGAGTTTCCATCAGGAGTCTTCACTCCACCACCATCAGTATCTAGACTCCTGGGGGATCCTGTCCTATCTGCTATCTTAATATTATTACACACTTCCAATTGATCTGTCTGTATTGGATTAAATATCATATACAAGAGCTAAGCTCCAATGCAAACAATGCACATCACTAAATCCTCACATGAACACTAACACACAACAGCTGAGATACAATCAATGCCACTGATTAAAAAGAATAAGGTCATAGCA